AAACTGTATGAAGCTTTTTTCCACGCTCCTGATAGCGCGTCAGAAAAGTACATGGCAACTCCCTTTTCTAAAAGCGAGGCTCGTCGAAATTGCAGGCCCGACGGTCCTGGTATTTCAAGGGGGGCGCTTCCTGTAGTGGAACGGGGGAGTTTGGGAGCGCATGGGGCGGGGACTTCGGACGGGAAGGTCTATTGCGACATCGTCGCTTGTGCATCTTTGATTTATCCTGATCCTCCTCCTCCTCCTCCTCCTCCTCCTCCTCCTCCGCCTCCCGCGCTATCGCGCCCCGACGCCCGTGCATGGCCTCTTGGACGGCTTCATCGCATCTCAGGAAACAAAAAACAACGCAAGCATCGGACTTGAAGCTGGGGGGGGGGGGGGCGCGGGCAGAGCCGCCGTACCATCCCGAGGGCACAGGCGCGTCCACATCAGGGGCTGAGGGTCTCGATGGCCCCGTGGGCGTCACCGAAAGGCATTTCCAGGCGGTGAATGGAGAGAGAGAGAGAGAGAGAGAGAGAGAGAGAGAGAGAAAGAAAGAAAGAGAGAGAGAGAGAGAGAGAGAGAACAAGAGAGAGAGAGAGAGAGGGAAGGAGGAGGAGGAGGAGGAGGAGGAGGAGGAGCAAGGAGGAGGAGGGGGAGGAAGGGGGAGGAAGGACGAGGAGGGAGAGGGGGGGGGGAGAAAGAGTGGAGAAGGAGTGGCGAGGGGGGGAAGGAAGAGGAGAGGGGGAGAGAGAGGATGAAGGAAGAGGGGGGAGGAAGAGGAAGAGGAGGGGGAGGAAGGAAGAGGAGTGGGAGGGGGGGAAGAAAGCGTGGAGAACGGTAAAGGGGAGGAGGGCAAGAGGACATTGCACATGCGCATGCGAGGCAGGAGTGGCGAAGGAATCGGGCATCACGACTTCGAAGCAAGGGACTCCCCCCTGGGTCTTCTCATCCCATATCTCCTCTTCCTCCTCCCGTTCTTTCTTCCGCTCTCCCTCCAGCTGCTACTGCTTATGTTGCTGCTGCTGCTGCTCCTCCTCCTCCAACTGTGCCCCTTCTCCTCCACCCCTTTTCCTATTTAACACCCCCTCCATTTCGCACCCCCAGACGCGTCGGTAGGGCGTGACCTGCGGTTCGCCAGAGTTCCCCCCACGACTGAGGATGCTGAAGCCCGAACTGTGCAAGGGCTTCGGGGATGGAGGGCGGGTCCTTTTCAGAATGTGCTCTCGCCTTAGCGCCGCGCACATTCGCCCCAGCAGTTTGCAGCACCTTCCCGGATTGAGGGCGGGAGGTTTTCAAGATGTTATTCTCGCCTGAGCGTCGCGTGCGCTCGTCTTAAACATTTAAGACAGTTTTGACAGTGGAGGGCGGCTCTTTTTCAACCTGTGGCTCTCGCCTGAGTTCCGCGCGCACTCGTCGTAAACAGGTGCAACAGTTTCAAAGGCTCGTAAGGTCGAAAGTTTAAGAATGGTGGCCTGACGCGATCTAGGATTGTCAGGACGCAGCAATCATCTTGATTCGCGGTGCTGAAGTCCCAGGAACGGTGTTCTGGTGCGATTTAGGAATATCTGGACGCAACAAATTACCTGTGTTCGCGGTGCTGAAATCCCCGGAATGGCGTTCTGGCACAAATTCGGACTGTCAGGGCACAATCACGTCGAGTCGCATCATTGAAGTCCCAAGAATGGTGTTTTGGCACGACTGGGGATTCTCAGACGGTTGTCATTCTATGGGGCAGTGTCCGCAGTGAAGATGGCTCCTTGTAGGGGCCTTTGAAGAGGGAACTTGGCGGGAGGGTTTATTACAACATCGCTGATGCGTCTTAAGTTCACACTGCTCCTCACCCTTTTCCTTGGCAGGAGGGGTGTCGTCCCCCAAGGCGTCGCCTTCGGTGCAGCTGTACCCAGTCGAGGCTCATGCGCCACATCGCCACCTGCAGTAGTCATAGACAAAATAATCACCATCGACATAAAAATCTGCTTTCGGAGATTCGAGCGGACCTCCGACATCTTACGCTTGTGCAGCTGTTCTTCTTCTTCTTCTTCTTTGGGTAGGGAGAGGGGCGGTGGGAGGTGGAAGGCGGGGGAGAATGATGAGGGACGAGGTCTTCCACCGCTTTCTGGTGATTCGGGTGTGGTTGTGGTGGTGGTGGTGGTGGGGCTTGGGCGGGAGCAAACATCTTCGGATGTTTCGGGGTGGGGGGAACACATCTTCTGGATGGTTCGGGGCAAATATCATCAGATGCTGCTGCTGAAGATGATGCAGAATGTGAGACAGACAAGGGTGATGAGCAGGCGGATGGAGGGTTCGGAAAGATAATGATAAGGGCGAGTCGGATGGTGATGCTGATGATGCTGATGACGAGGATGATGATTATAAGGACGACGATGATGATGATGCTGTTGCTGATGATGACGACGGCACAGACTATGATGTTCTACCGCTGCTGGCGGAAAACCGGGGGGGGTCACTACCGGTTCGAACCCATCCCCCCCCCTCTGGAAAACCGGGGGGGGTCACTACCGGTTCGAACCCCCCCCCCCCCGGAAAACCGAGTGGGGGTGCGGACAGTGGTGGGGACGGTGTTGGTGGGGACAGTGGTGAGGGGACAGCGGGACAGTGGTGGACGGTGGGACAGTGGTGGGGACGGTAGTGGTGGGGACAGTGGTGGGGACAATGGTGGGAACAGGGGGGACAGTGGACAGTGGTGGGGACGGTGGTGGTGGGGACAGCCCCCCCCTCGAAAACCGGGGGGGGTCACTACCGGTTCGAACCCCCCCCCCCTGGAAAACCGAGTGGGGGTGCGGACAGTGGTGGGGACGGTGTTGGTGGGGACAGTGGTGAGGGGACAGCGGGACAGTGGTCGGGACAGTGGGACAGTGGGGCAGTGGTGGGGACGGTAGTGGTGGGGACAGTGGTGGGGACAATGGTGGGAACAGGGGGGACAGTGGACAGTGGTGGGGACGGTGGTGGTGGGGACAGTGGTGTGGGGACAGTGGGAATGAGGTGGAAACAGTGGGACAGTGGAGGGTACAATGGTGGTGGGGACAGTGGTGAAGGCGGTGGCGAGGACGGCGGTGGGACAATGGGACAGAGGTACAGTGGGGACAGTGGTGGGGACAGTGGGGACAGTGGTGGGAACAGTGGGACAGCTCAGTGGGACAGCGGAGGAGTCAGTGGGACAGTGGGGACAGTGGGGATAGTCGGGCAGTGGTTGGGGCCGTGGAGACAGTGGGGAGAGTGGAACCGTGGTGGGAACAGTGGTGGGGACAGTGGGGACAGTGCGACAGTGGTGGGGGCACTGGTGGAGACAGTAGGGACGGTGGTGGAACCAGCGGGAACAGTGGTGGTGAGGACAGTGGCGCTGGGAACAACAGTGGGGGATGTGATGCGGACGGTGGTAGGGACCGGGAGTCGTTTGCTGGCGGTGCGTGGGGGGGGGTCGAACCGGTTGTGACCCCCCTCCGGTTTTCGAGGGGGGGGGGGTTCGAACCAGTAGTGACCCCCCCGGTTTTCGAGGGGAGGGGGGGGGGGGAGGGTTTAGGGGAGGGGGGGGTTTTGCGGGCGAAGGGGGGGGGGGTCCAGCAGGGGGGGGGGGATTTTCGGAGGAGGGGGGGGGCGACCCTCGGGTTCCGGAGGAAAAGGTTGGCAATTTTCCATAGTAAAGCGGCGGTGGATCACGCTCTCTCGATGATTATAACGACCACAACGAAGACGAACATGACGATGCTGATGCTGATGATTATGCAACTGGTGACGACAATACTGACGACGACTACGATGACAATGACGGCGGTGATGATGGCGATGCTGATGATGCTGCCGATGCTGATGCTGCTGATGATGATAAGGATGTTGATGATGGTGGTGGTGATGATGATGATCATGATGCTGCTGCTGATGATGTTGCTGCTCCTGATGATGCTGTTGCTGTTGCTGCTGCTGATGATGATTATGCTGATGATGATGCTGACGCTGATGATGATGATAATGATTGGGGAGGCGATGCAGGAGGAGGACGAGGAGGAGGAGGAGGAGAAACAACATCGCATGGCCAATCCAATAATAATTACGCCAAAGAAATACCCCAACCAGTGGATGGTTTGGAAATTCGTGATATGGATCTTGAGATCGGTAGTGTGATCGATCGTGTAATCGGTCGTGAAGACGATAGTGATGACGATAGTATGGTCGATCGTGAGACCAATTGTGAAATCGATTCAATGATATCGATAATGAGATCGATCGTGAGTTCGCTCGTGCGATCGATTGTGATATCGATTGGGAGATCGATTGTCAGATCGACAGAGAGGTTGGTAATGAGATCGATGGTGAGACCGATCGATCACGAGATCGACTAACAACCCGGAAACCCGGGAACCCCGCCACCCACCGAAATAGGCCCGGATCCAGCACAAGGAACCTGGGAACCCAGGAACCTGGCCGCCTACCGAAATCGGCCAGCCACTTTCGCCAAATGCTTCAAGATCCGCTAGGACCCCTTCAGTGCAAGCACTGATTGGGGAACAACGATACACGTGCGAACGAAACAGGACATGTGCCGCAAAATTATCCAGGCGAAGGACTAAACTATATGCAGTTGTGGGCACTGCAATTGTGAATATCTTCCTCGGTGAAGCTCCCTATGGGGCGAAGCGCTTAACTGGGTGGGGGGGAACGCATGCGGGCGGAGCTCCCTATGGGGCCACGAAACGTGTGACGAGCTTGCCAGAATGGGCGTCGGGCACATGCGGACCCTGCCGCTGGTGCATTCAATGGAGCTCCCTATGGAGCCACGAACCGTGTGAGGGGTGTGCCGAAATGGGCGTCGGGCGCGTGCGGACCCTGCCGCTGGGGCCCTCGGTGGAGCTCCCTATGGGGCCACGAACCGTGTGAGGGGTGTGCTAAGAATGATGACGATGACGATGACGATGACGATGACGATGACGATGACGATGACGATGACGATGACGATGATGATGATGATGATGATGATGATGATGATGATGATGATGATGATGATGATGATGATGATGATGATGATGATGATGATGATGATGATGATGATGATGATGATGATGATGATGATGATGATGATGAGAGGAGGGAAGGGGAGTGTAAGGGAGGAGGGGGAGGGGGCAGCGGGAGTGAGGAACGCGGGGCGCTGTCTCTTCAAAACGACGACCCAACAACACAAGTTGGTTGGGAAAAAAGCACCGAGCCGGCGACTGAGAGCACGAGAACGAACCCTGGCGACGGCGGCAGCAGCCGGCAGCGGCGGCGGCGGCCGCCTCGTGGCTGGCGTTCCCTGCGGCGTCTCGTCGCAGGGCCTCGCGCGGCTCTCTCGCCACGGGGGCGCGTGGGGGGGGCCAGCAGGGGCGGGCAGGCGAGAGGGAGGTGTCCGCGCGGGCCTGCGAAAATCAATGTTCATGTTTTGTTCTTCGAGGGTGGGCAAAGGCTGAACGGGGAATCTCTGAGAGCTGGCGGGTTTGGAAGGCATATCGGGCGCCACGGCCGTCCTAGAACGCTCCAAAACGCTGTCCTCATCCTGGGCCTGTTGGCCTGCTTGAAAACGTTAGGCGCCATGAGGAATCACCACCGCTCGGGTGTCAATTTCCCGCTCATGTTTGGTTTCGTGCGTGCTTCTTCTGGTACACAAGACTTAGTTGCCCCGATACGCATCACGCAACACGTCACGTTTTGATACGGAGCTCAACACGTAGGCTGAAAACGTAGGTCCGACGCGATACATTCGCCAAAACGTGGTCCAACACGTGGAGCCACCATGCAACGTATTGACACGGACGTTTTGAACACGAGGCATGTTGCGTTTCAAAAAGGAAAAGAGAATCCAAAGAGCTCCTGGACGGTCCAGACCTTCTGGCGTTGGCCTCGCCGAGAAAGCATGCACACGCCCGAGCGATGCCAACTGCGCCCCTCGCGCTTCGCACTGGGCGACGCGCGGTCGCCCTCGCGCCCTCTCGCGGAACTCCCTGGAAAAGGGGTACCTCCGCGGCCTGGGCCGCGCGGCGCCGAGAAGGGTGATGATGTTGGTGATGATGACGATGCTGCTGCTGCCGCTGCTTATGGCGATTACGCGTATGATTCCGATGAGGCTGATGATGATGCTGCTGATGATGGTGATGATGATGAAGATGAAGAGGAAGATGATGATGATGCTGATGATGATGCTGATGATGATGATGATGCCAGTGGACAATTACCATGGCCATTGCAGAAGCCATTCCCTCAATTTTATGAAAAAGCGCGGGAGAACTGCAGACGCACACAGACAGCACAGACGTCGAAACAAGATCTTGAAACCCCTCAGGCGAAGGCGGGGGGGGGTCTTGGGAGCTTGAACGCATGTCCATACGGTTGTGCGGCCACTCGACCCTCCTCCAGCACTCAACACACTAAGTTGCCACCGTGCCGACGGAGGGTTACCATGGCCATTGCAGCATTCATGTCCTTACATTTCCAAAGGTGACAGTGGCAGGAAGCCTTGCAACGTTCCCGAGAGAGAGCTGCAGACGCACACAGACAACACAAACGCATCCTGTGTAACACTAATTGAGGAGGGACTCTGTGGCAATATCAGCAGCTCTGACAGGGGAACGATCAGCCTTGTGCCTGCGCGCCGCGCCTTTGGCCGCACGGCCGTCGAACTGGAGGAGAGGCCGCCCCGAAAAGGAGCGCGTCGCCGAATAGGGGTTACAACATGCGCTTGCTTGCTTGAGCTGAGGCCAGTACCAATTGAACACACGAGTCGCCGAGAGGGTGGCGGATCCGCACTGACAGAGGCCCAGATAAACTCCGAGAAGCGAGCTATGACGGACGAGCGGCTGAAATTCTGGAAGGGCCCAGACAGGGCTGGCCCTGGGGTGCTCCAAGCAAACTGGTACATAATACTTGACGCACGCCCGGTTTAGTCTGATAGCCGCTTCCATCTCCACAGTATCGACCCGACACGTTGGGGGCATGGCGAGGGCGCTCGCAAGGACAGTCCGACCCCGCGGATCGGCAAGGCTGCGAACAGGAGGCGACCCAGGCACGATCCAGAATCCCCTCGGCAGCGAAAGCCAACAGGCGCACGCCGCCGACGATCGAATCCAGCCCAGAAGCCGATCCATGACGGCCCGCTCCGCGATGCCGAGGCCCGCATTCCGACCCGCACCAAGCGCGGGACACCCGAAACCGCGCCGACGCAACGCTTTCCAAATGAGGGTCCTGTGGGGCCCGACCACTCGCAAAACGAGTCGGCGACGGCGGGGCGCCCGCCGATGGGCGCGTCGAAACGCCGACCTCATGCGGGAGCCAATCTTCTGGTCAGAACAGGCGCCCACTTCACGACCCGCGGGGCGGGCGTCGCGGCCAGGAGGAGAACGGCCTGGCGGAGCGTGCACAAGGACAGGGGCTACTTCTGCAGCCACGCCTCCAGCGGCGCCTGGCGGAACCTCGCGCGCACGTCGGCGGGCCTGCAGTCCTCGCGGCTGGCATCCGCGGGCGCGTGGGGCGTCGGCGCGCGCAACGCGAGCCAGAGCTCTGGGGCGCGTGCCAGCGCCGACTCGTCGGCCACCCCGTCTTGCCAGGTCGGCCCGACGTCGCATCATTCGCGATGATGCCCCAGGTGGTGGACCCCGGGCCCACGATCGGCGGCGCCAGCGACCCCGCGCGCAGCCGATGGGCCTCGGACGGCCTGATGCATGCGTGGAAGACCAACGTCACGAGCACAGCCATGCTGGGCAGATCCGGCCAATGAGCCACCCCGCCACCGCCGTCGCCGCGGCTCGCGGCAACGGCAGGCGCATCTGAGAAGGGGCCGGGCGGCGCCGAAAGGCCCTGGGCCCGCGCAGCGCAAGGCAGCGGCTGTCTGCCAAACAAGAGGCGGGGCAGGGAGTGACGCGCCGCTGCCGCGGTCACCGCCCCTCCCGCGACGTCGCGCCCGCCCATGGCCAGGTCGGTCAAAAAAGACACCATCACTCCATCCAGCTTGCTGGTCGTCCCGAAGTCGAGCTCGGGCCAGCTCGGCCATTCCGGGGACCTCTGCGCATGGCGCCGGCGCCGAGCCCTCGTCGCGGGCGACGCCTCCAGGGGGCCGATGGCCCCGTTGGTTCAGCTCCCCCGATCGAGGGTGAGCCCGGGCCTGGGCGGGCACCGGCGTCGAGGCCCGCTGCCTCCAGCTCGGCGCGACTACTGGCTGCCTCTCCCGCCTCCTTGAAGCTTTGACAGTGGAGAAACCATGGCGGGACAGCCAGTCGGCTGCGTTCAGCTCCGACGGCGGCCAGCGGAAATGGCGCCGAAGGTTGGCGGCAAGGCCGAGCGCCGCAAGCCGCCGGAAGGGGGCGACGACGGGCGGGCCTCCGTCGCCGCCCCTTGCCCGCCGCCAGAGCCGAAGGAATATTATCGACGAGGAATAGATTCCGATGGTGGTGATGAGAGACGCTGCGAGTGGCGCGACTCGCTGCATCGCGCAGCGCGTCGCCCTTATGCTCCAGGATCGTCTCGAAAGGGTTCCAGTGCCTCCTGGGAATGACCGTGGCCCATGTAGAAGCCTCCAGGATGTCCGATGGGATCTCGTTGAAGCCCTTATCGAAGCCCTCGGGGCCAGGCGGCGCGGCCGAGCCCCTGACGGAAGCCTCCAAAACATCTGAGTCGCCAGTGGGCCCTCGAGCCGCGCCGACGCCGCTGAAACACATCGGTATCGCCGCCTCTCCGCCCGCCGCCCCCTCTCGGCCATTCGGGGCCCCTCCGGCCGACGAGCGCAGACGCCCGCGCCGATGGGCGAAGCGTCCGAGGCCGAGACGCGCGAGCCCAGCGGAATCCTGATGCGTGACGTCCAGGGCGGGAGAGTACTAGCCGCGCGCCGCAGCTCGAACTTCGCCGAGCCCCAAAGGGGCCGCGCACCAGGATCCTTCAAGGACTTGAAAGCGTAGACTGAAGACAGGGTGGAGAGGGCCCCCCTCTTGCAAATCATCGCCCGTGCGACGTGTCCCAGCAGTGCCTCGAGCATGCGGGGCGGCGCGGCCCCTCGCCGAAGGGTCGCGAGGGTCGCCTGCCGAAGCCTCGGGGCGCTGGCAGGCTTCGCCCTCGCTGCCCCAACGCCGCCGTGAATCTCAAGGCCCGTGAAGATGGAGACGGAGGAGGCCTCGTCGAGGGAGTGCGCAGGAAGCCCAGCTCCAACGCGCGTCTGACCTGGTCCCTCTTGGCGGCGTCCAGGGCCGCGTCGCTGCCGACGATGGCGAAATTGTCGACGTGGCCAGCAGCTACCGCGCGCCCGCGCGCGCGGAGCGCAGGGCTCGGGCGGCCGTCCTCTATCGAGTCGCCGTCGCTGAAACCGTTGTGCTCTCCGCGTAGTGCTCTTGCAGAATAGCAGTGGCCAGCTCCACCCCATAGACGGCTTGAAATCGTGTGTTTGTGTGTGTGTGTGTGTGTGTGTGTGTGGGTGTGTGTGTGTGTGTGTGTGTGTGTGTGTGTGTGTGTGTGTGTGTGTGTGTGTGTGTGTGTGTGTGTGTGTGTGTGTGTGCGTGCGTGCGTGCGTGCGTGCGTGCGTGCGTGCGTGCGTGCGTGCGTGCGTGCGGGGGGAGGCGCGGGGTGCCTCCCCGTGCCCTTCGGCGCGGGCGCGCGGTAGAAAGCGCGCGGGGAGTCGCCCCGGGCCAACGCCGCGGGGCGTTCGGCCTCGAGCGCGGCCCGCGCGGCCGCCGCCGGCAGCGCGGTCTTGGGCAGCGGCTCGAACTCCTCGTTCGCCGCCCGAGTGTCGAAGACGAGTGCGAGCGCGCCCGCGCCAACCTTCTCCACGAGGAGAAGCCCAAGCTACGCGGATCAGCAGCCCGCGCAACGCGGAAGCTAATCGCGCCGCCCTCGAGCAACTTCCCCGCGACGCCGGCGTGGACTCTAAGGTTGTCGGCCGGAATCGGGCTGGCGCATGGGCGCTGCGTTGGCGAGGCCGGCCTCGGGCACGAGGCAGACGACTCAACCTCGAGCGCGGTCCGCCCCCACCCCGGCAAACGTTCTTGCTCGGCCTGATCGGCGAGATCAGCGGCGTCAGTTGGCCCCGATGAGAGGTCAGGCCAGGGCGCGAGGTCCTCGCAGTAGGGCTCGACGCGCAAGGGGTCCGCGGAATGCCCGGGCGCCGACGCGGGCAGCTCTGTCGCGGCCGCTTCGCCGGGGAGGCAATCCTCGCGACGTCGGGGGGGCGAAGAAAATGCTCATAAGCTCGCGCAACGCGCCCCATCGCGCTCGCCTGTGCCGCCGAAGCCGTCAGACCAGGAGGCGCCGACGGCGATGGCGAGTGGCTGCTCGGCCGGTTCAAGGCCGCGACGCCGTCGTT